AAGCGTTCATTCAAGCGAATTCATTTACTATTACAATGTGCATGTATATAAGTGATGCATCAAATTTACATCGAAATTATTACAGTGAAGTAAAATAGATCAATCGGCTCTGTTACGCTATAATTCGCGATCAAGTTCGGTTCTTTTCGTTGATTACATTGTTCATTTCGATTGTTTTAGTTTTTCATCTTCTGGTGCATTTTATATTTCGAGATTGCGTGGTGCGCTCTATATATTTCCTCGTATTTCCAGATGCGTTGGGATATACATATGCTGTTTAATGGACCAATTCGAGTTATAGGCTACATCACATTGATTCCATGCAAGAAAACAGATGTGGACCAACTACGCATGTGTCGAGAGGTCCGGAAGTCAAAAGGGGGGGATTAAAACATGCAAAAAAGATAGGAGTCGACCAGGCTCATGATGATGCATGAAGATTACCGCTACAAATTTAGCGCCACGATTTCCAAAATGCGACATGCGTTATCATCCCTTCGTCTTGAAATTCGATCTTTGCGAAAGTCTTTCATTGCATAATTGGCGAACTTTACACCTTCATTTCGAAGACATATTATATGTAAATCTACTGTTTTGGATATAGGTGACCCACAATGGCAAGACTTTTCGCACCGGGTTCATCTTGATTTCACCGTTGACAGTACAGTTTAAAAACTGTTTCTGTCCAAATTAGCATTGCAATCACCACTAAAAACGTTTAAACACATATATACCATCGGTGCCAGGCAAGACAAGCACAAATTGCAGTTTTATATGTCAAAGGAGGAATACATGAAGGATAATGTATCTATCAAGAATAAACAATATGGTTAGGACAATGAGAGTGTTACCGACACAAATAGACGAGTAGCATACAAGAGGTAGAACGATGACGAAGCGCATGCATATTAAAGATGAACCTGTGACTTATAGACTGTCAAGACTCCTCGTTCGGCTACAAAGTCACTGTTTGCTGCTTCAATATTGTATTATATTGAAGTTAATTAGGATGTTACACGATATAAAACAAGCGACTGAACTAGTGGTTAACTCGAGAGAATAGGTTCAGAGTAGCAAAATCATTTTTGCGCAAAGGACCCAAGTCGATCCTTAGCCATTGCTCGATCTTGACGTCCCCGCAGACTAGCTACCTCAGGTGCACACTACGCCAGGACCGTATGTGCTATAAGCATGGAAGTTCATACCAGTAGACTTGTTTATTAGGGTAACTAAAAATTCTGTAGCGTTGCTCCCTGCCAGAGGAAGTCTGATGCTCATTAGCCAGTAATTGGATGGATTAGAAGTACGACATAAAAAATCTTCGACTAGATCAACAAAGAACCAATCTTGAGGGTCATCTTGTATTAAACACGACGGCTCTAAAGTCAGCTTTAATCAGAAAGCGGTAGGGTTTTGGCAAAAAGAGTAACAATTTCAACGAGCAACTATCCAGAGAATCAGTAGCTCGAAATAATACCTACGAATTTTAACAAGCATCTTAACTCTTATGGCGTTTGATTACGAACTAGTTTTTTTTCTTCATTTTGCAACGGCGATACGACTCCTTCTAAGCACGTCGGTTTTAGGCATTATTCCTTTTGGAGTACAACATAATTAGAACCTTTCTGGATAGCTGATACGTGTCCGCTCTTAGCAAACGTACTTAGTACTACTGAGTTTTGGAGCCGGTATGTCACAGAGCTCACGTACCCATAAATTCTTGGTTGTACTACCAAAGTGTACAACCGTTACAGATTCCATCGCGGCGTAGATGGCGTCATCGGCGTCTAAGGTTTAACTAAGCGAGATTAAGCTTATAATTTAAAGTTGCTTGCTTGGCCGAATGAAAATGTAAAGTGGAGCCGCCATGGCCGAAATGACTAGACGAAGGTGAAAGAGGTACGACGTGGTTTGTTCATGGCGACCCGTCAAGCTTGACTGATTGACTCGTCAAGTAGGAGCACCTTGCAGTGACTCTCATTTGCCAATGGGTGTGTTCAACTTCCATGTCATTCTATTGACCTCTGCGATGCACCTGTCGCGCTTTCGCGTGGCAAAGCCAGCACCATGAATAGGAGCGACCTACTGAGAACAGGTGTCGTGGCGAATAGAGGATAAGCCATACATCTGCAACTATGCCCTTTGAACTTCATACTGGGTCTTCATTCCCATGACAGTATCGCCCAGTCTACTTATTAGACTTCAACCGCGTTAGCGACTTCATCACTAATAAAAAACAGGTAGCTACCTGACATTTCTTCAACTTTTGCGGCCCCTGCTGCTCTGCAATCTCACAGATCCTCACAGGACACTTAACGATCTAATGCCCTTGTGCGATAGAGTAGTGGCGCGTTGGAATTCTGCTTCAGGTTCGTTCTTAATTCACTGCGATTACTAGTATGGTTGCTTGACCTAAACTGTGCGTGGCCGGAAAGTGCGATGAGAACTATACACAGGCATTGGGTTAGTGTCGTAGAACGCGTGATCGAGGCGTCGATCTACAGTATTTGGTCACATGACGCGAAGTAACAAAAGTAGCGGGTGAGTTTGGCGTTTCGCAAAAAGCGAAATGCACTCGAAAGAAACTTTGTGGAAAAGTATTACGCCAACTTACGGACGCTATTAGCACTCTTCACAGTAGGTGTATAGCCGAAAGCGATGTTACTGGCAAATTTGAGCGATCGAGGCCCGGCTGGTGGCTTTCGGAGACCAGTTGGCTCTCAGTCGCGAGTGCAATACTTTCTCCGCGGGTAATGACGAATATGTCGAGCGTCAAGCTCATTTTGGACATGTCTAGAAGTGGCATGTTCAAGCTAAGTGTCGAGGCATCCTGAATGAGCACCGAGGCTGTTGAAAAGAATGGGAGTTGGGCTTTTTTACGCACCCCAAACAAATGTGTATAGACGATAGCGAACTCTACACGATGACAGCACGCCGTGTGCGAGAAGCTGTTTTGACGAACAAGCCATTCGTTCTCGAGTAAACTTGCTACAAGAAGCTAGTGAGCATTGGTTTGCTGCAATTTCTGACCAACACATTAACATGTGTGTATATCGAGAACGCTGAGAGAAATGCATTGTTGCGATAAGTACCTACGTTAATGAGACACTGCTGACAGTTACGAAACAATTTCAGTGCATAACGCTATCACCGATATAAACAATCCGTCAGTAAATAACCTGGGAAAGACACATACGTTGTGAGTATGCACACAATTATACCGACGGTTCTGGGGGGGGGGGTGATTGACCAAGAAGCACATAGCGGACAACAGTTTTACAATTGTGTGCAGTTTGTACAACGATTGGAGACGAAGTCAGCGATCTCAACGATATGGATGAAGAGTTGCCAAGTATTGATGAGGACGGAATATAACCGATAAACACGTATCGTCAAAAGCGGGTAGTTTGCTGAGTTCTCTCGCTGTAGCAGACTCTGTGTATCGTATGCTGCTCTTGGAGTTTCCAAGCGCTCCTTTTCGCCAACGCCAACTGACTGGGGATTGGATATACGAATTTCGATACATTTGCGAGGAACTATTGCGTTGCATCTTGAGATGAAGCAAAGCTACTGCCCGAGGATTGCTGCATATTTGTATTTGCAACGCCAATTATGCCTCTAACAACATACGACACAACGCTCAGTACACAGGGGGTGTTACTACAGACGGGATAACGGTGACATGGTATCGAGAAGCAAGGTGGCTTGTCAACAGTGGAGGCGGAACCAACTGCGGCGTCTATAGTAAGAACGCATATGCTTGTTTTGCGAGAGGTACTTGAAAACTGGAGTGAAGTGTGGTACGTCAATGGCATAATTTGTGGAATATAGTAGGCGGCGCTTGAATAGCTTACAGGCGATGGACCGTCTGCTGTACCTAATCATGTCGGACAGGGTCCATGAGCTTACACGCGAGGAATAAAGTACAAGTACCTAGATGCATCGAATACTTTGTATTCCAGCAGATTTCATGACAAACGTAGTGCCAGCACCTAGCGTGGAGGCTAAAGGATTTGGCCTGGTTAAGCAGAAGTTAGCGGGGTGCAGCCAAAGCAAATTTGAGTCGGCGGTATGTGAGCAATTAAGCTTGTAGCATTTAGTTTGCAGACCCTGCAAGATATCGAACGGGCGCGAGTTTGAACGATGTTTAAACAATGCCACAATGTAGATGAAGTAAACATGCACAACAGGATTCGATGGAGAAGTGCTAAAAAGTGAGAGAAGGTGAAAAGGTAGGGAAAGGGCTCGTGCAGGAGCGAAAGAGAAAACTTGTCAGTGTGTTATTACAATTTGCACTTGTCCTTACAGCTATGGTCGCTCTTCTTTATCACTGCATATCACACCACAAGTGGCATTAGTGTGATATGCATTTGCCCTGGCAGCTACCGTCGCTCTTCTCCATCGTTGCATATCACACCGCTTGCGGCATTCCTACTACAAAACATGTATCGCGGTTTAATTGCGTTTGCTCTTTCTGCTTACATCATGCTGTTGTCGCAACGGAGCGATCGAGCACATGTGCAAACAGCGCTGTCCCAATTCACACGCTTTAGTACGCATCGACGTGTACACGACGCAATGGTCAGACGTACATGCCAGCACGAATGCCAATGGGTCGTACCACACACTGTCGATGGACCGCCAGGCCACCATGCGATACTTGCGGCAAAGAAAAAACCAGTTGTCCAGCCTGATCCATCACCCTCCATCCCTTCTCGAAAAGCATCTGCTCGTGTTCCTCCAGGATTGTTGTGCTCCTGTCGGCTCGAAAATCTCGTTTTTTTGTCTGCATACGCAGTTTCAAACTTATGGAACGCTAGTGGTCCAGCTGCCGTGTCTATCCGATTTGCAGCACGCACATGTGTACAAAGCCTCTGCTCGTGGAGACACGACCCACTTTCGTTAATTTTTCGCCACTGCAGTATCGAATTCGCTCGACGTGCGACAATAGCTGCCCAGAGACCCCCTGTCCCCGCCATACACTGCGACCGACCACCGCGATGACCAAGTGCCACCGTCTCCTCATATCTGCACTCGCTGTGATTGCTAGCGATACTGCCCTGCTGGCTTGTGCGGCTGACGCAGTGTCTCCAGTCACTTCCTTGGACCACACGCAAGCGGATGAGTCGAACGTGCAAGTGAATCGATTGAATGAAAGCGCGAATGATGCTGGTGGTGAAGAAAGAGTGCCCAACTTTCTTTTGCCGTTCATCGAAAGGTTTGGCGTTGACTGGAAGAAAGTGCAAAACAGGATTGCTCGGATTGGAGAAGAATCTGCTTGGAGCAAGTACAAGGGTGCCTGGCGCAAGGAAAACAAGGCCAGTGAGGAGGAGGTTACCTCGATAACGGGACTGGATGATAGGTGGAAGAAGAACGAGGAAGATTTGGCGAAGTTCCTGGCCCTTCATAAGAAAGCGGACGAGGCTGTGAAAGCGGAAGAGTCAAAATGGTTGCAAGCGAAAGCAATCTGGGACAGGGAACAAGCAGCCTGGAGGACGAAGAAAACAATCTGGCAGAGACTGTTTTCTACGAAGAAGCCTGTGAAGTGGGATCCGACTGCCTTGGCGGAGAGGCGTGCTGCCATGGATAAGGTGGTGGATGCCCATGATGAGAAACAAGAAGTTTTACGTCAAAAAGCAAGGTGGACGGACCAAGAAAAACAGTCAGTGCACGAACTTTCGCATTTGCAGAAACAGGTGGCCGAAGAGGAGGTTAAGCAAAATCTGGCCAGGTTCACGACACTGAAAGAGGACGATGTTACCGTGGACAAATACGGAGAACTACTGGATCTGGACCCGTCGACCGTCAAGTCATACGTACGCGGGAAGATTTCTCCCCAAGACTTTTCCCGAATGGGGCCGGAGTACAGGAGATTCTTGTACTACGAGAAATTCTACGAAAAAGGATCCGAAGGGGTCGATAATTTCATTGCTCTTATGCATCGACCGTCAGAGTGGTGGTAGTGTCGTGTACACAGAAGTACGGGCATTCTTCCAAGAATTGAGGGGCGGCGAACATCGTAGCTCAGCGAAAGACAGTTAGTTGTGCGCTCAATATAACTCACGACGTTGACAATCACAACCTTTGTCTTGCTCGCGTGAGCTAGTGGCTCGCGTGGATAGTCATGTGTCGGCGATGGCTCGACCCCCAGTCAATTTGATCTCGAAGTGTATGTAACATAGCGAGATCTAGCTCCCTCTCAGTAGGAAACAAAACGTTTCTCGCATCGACCGCGATGGTATTCAGGGACCACAAAGTTGCACAGTGCACATGAGCAAAGCCTTCCGCACTACCACGTAATAAACGCAAGCGTTTGCGCTGCCAGTCGATGCAGCCTTTTCACTGGTCCTGCAACAAAAAATCCGTCTACAGTTCAACAGCATTGTTCACTCACTATTTTGCGCGCGGCATCCGACACCAGGGCAACGTTCGTCGCGACCAGCGCGACATTCGTAGCATCCGTTGACCGGTACGTATACATTAGTGGTTAGCGATGCTACCGCACGATCGTCTTGCGACACTCAACGTCACGAAAAAGACCACAATCAAAGCAACCGGTCATCCACATTCTTCTTGCCTCTTGTCACGAACATCGCCGCGCCCTCACGACAAAGTAAGTTGCGATCTTTTCACAACGTGTTGCAATACTGCCAGCAGGTAACGACAACGCATGTCGTAATCGACTTTCTACGACCAGCATGAAGAGGCACATGTTTCCAGCGGGTCGTAAGCGCACGTAGCGAGTCGCGACTGTCATGACACTTGACTCGGTTTATCGCACAATATGTCCGAACAAGTCTACATACAGACGCTGAGGGCTTTCGATCGCGGATGTAGCTGTCAAAACTATTGGAAATCGACGAATACAAAAGCAAGTCGGTCGTCGCTTTGACGCGGGCCTGTACCTCGTGTTACGCAAATCGTGTAGCTGGTACATGGGCATACCGAGCAATAGCGCTCAATCGCACACTACTAAGATCCCAAAAGAGAGCGATCAGGGAACTGCAGCATCAGTTATATTTCGCTTTGCTGCGGCACTCGTTACCACAACCGATTCGCACATTACTCAGGCGGACTGCACGCTCCAGCGAAGCCGGTGGTACACGTATTGGATCATATAGGACACGTGCTTTGACGAGATGTGGAAAGCAAGTGACCGCTACTAGTCTGGTGGGTATCGTGCTCCACTTGCAGTTGATGCGACGGTACCGCGGTTCCACTTCGACGCCAACAAGTCAACTTTACATGTCGAGCATGGACCACTTCCTGTTGCAAAGCGCGATAAAACCCATCGTCAATAGAATCCTGTGGTCGGGTAATTATTTCTTTGTGAGGTGTACGTGCGTATACAGGACGTTGAGTCGTAAACTCGAGAGGCAGTAGCTGACGGCTTTTGTTTCGAAAAGAAACAAACACAGCGGTAGCTGACCTTCCACGTATGCGGCAAGAGATCGTTGTTTGCGTGTGCAAATGGAAAGAGTCTTACAAGTGGTAGCAGTAGTCTTCCATGCCCAGTCACAACTCTTTCGTCAAGCTGAGCTACTTCTCTGGTCTTGCGCAATGGTAACAAGCAAGCTGTACCGTCCGCTATTCACTCTTGTCTTTCAACCATGTTTAAACTTCAGTTTCGATAACTCATGCCACCAACGCATCGACATTCAAAGTATCAAATTTGCGCACCGCTTGCTCGCGTTCAAGTGACTTAGGACACGAAGCCCAGCTCCACGGCCGCTTTATCAGCCTGGTTGCAAATGTCGTCATCGTTACATAGGTTGCGCACATTCGTGAGCTTCTCAGGATCCTTGAGCTTGATGGCGAGTTGGAGCGCATCACTATACATGTCGAGATGAATAAACGTCTCGAACTTCTCGTCCACGGACGTGATGCGAGCCGTGTAGTTCTCGGCCTGCTGTTTCTCGCCTTCTTCAAGACACGCTATAGCAAACGCCTTGAAGCCGCACGGCGGAGTCTTCTTTTCCATAGAAAACTTGTGCAGCGCATCCCACTGCCGCGTCTCAGCCAGAGCCTTGATCTTCACGCGGTACATCCGTTTGTCCGGCACTTTGAACTTCTTCGCGAATGCTGCAACGACGGGCAGCAGCTTCGGCTCATACTTGCTATCACGTAGCAGCATCTTCATCGTGTTTGAGATAGACACGCCCACGAGCTTACGACGCTTTACATTTTCAGGCTTCTCTTCTAGCTTGCTTTGCTCCTGCAGCAGCTCTATTTGCTCCTCAGTAAGCTTGGCGTGAGCCGGTAGCTTTGCGTTGTTATACTTGCCCGTTGCTTCTTTCAATGCCGTGACCTTCTCGTCCAGATCCGAGGTCTGGAACGATAGCAATAAATCGCTCTCAGCACTAGCCACATCAGTCCACAGCGCAGCGCTGCTCGAGCTTTTTGTAGCACGGTAGTACAAAAGCATGAGGTTTACGGCCTCGGCGTACATCGGCTCGCGGTTCAATACGTAGCGGAACTCGTCCATGGACGGTAGCGTGCGCTCTAGGTGGAAGAGTGCCATATAGATAAGATCCGTGTTATTGGACTCGAGTGACTTGCGAAGTGCTAACTCAAACTCGCCCATGGACAGCAGTAGTGGTACCTGGTCGGACGCGTTTTCTTCCAGATCCAAAAACATCGTAGCGAGCCGCCGCCGATTCACACGCTCGGCACAGTTGGCAATGTCAGCGTACGAGACTAGCGTTGCCTTTTTCAGCTTTTTGCGCACGAGCGCCACCAGCTCTTCATCCGATGCGTTAGATGATGTGGCCGCCTTTACCTTCTCGCAAGCCCAGTGCACTAGCACTCGATCCGTCGTAATGTTCAAATACTCGCAGATCTTGAGGGCCAGGAAATGGTGACGCATTGCCACAAGCCGACTTACTACAACTTCTGCAGTCAGCCGGTCAAACTGCGTTATTGTCAAGGGGAAGCCAATGTCTTGCTGGCGCAGCGCATTCAACACGCGGATCTTTCGACACATGTCAACAAACATCTCGGCATCCATCATAGAGTTGCCGCCTCCCGTTCCAGTGCCTCCCGATAGTGCCGACACAGCGTCCGTAGCCGAGTCTACAAAGCACTTGCCGTACGACGCAGCGCGCAACAAGGTCGTCTGCGACGCGTAGTCAAACTCGCTGCCCGCTGCGTCCACACAGTCCTTGATCGCATCTTCCAATGCGTTTTGACTCAATATAAAGCGAATGTGCTCATCGGCCTTGGCGTCGCCCGAGTCAAACGCGTCCAGCGCTTGAAACAACATTGCCGCTGGCGCTGTCGAGCCAACGCCCTTAATGTTTTCGACACACGTCGGCACCCGAAGGACAATATCGTGCGATGATGCACTGTAGACTCGACAGCAGTCCACTTCCTGGGCCAGGACAATGCTTTCCGAGTACGGAAAGCGAAGCCACGAGCCATAGGGTCCGACCATGACGAGCCCTGCACTTGGCCAGTACATGAGCACGGAGTCTTCGCCACACCAGCACATGCGCTGGGGACTTGCTTTGCTCTGAGTATCAAACGTGAGGATCTTCTTGTCCATCATGGTATTCAGTACGGTCAAGATGCCGTCTTGCGAGAAGAGCGCCATAAAGAGCCCATTGGGGGCGATCGCGACCGCCGAGATCGGGGCCGCAATCGACTCGTGCAGCTTCATGTCCTGCACGCCGCTGTCTTTGTTCACAATCACGAGCGACCGGTTCGTCGTCCCCAGCAGCACGTCCGGGTAAATGCTCTTGAGGAACTTGGGCTCGAGCACCGCCATGCACGTGGGCGGGTTGGCCTCCGAGAGGCCGCAGTCCGGCAGCAACGAGACCTTCGGCCGCACAGAGTCCACGTCCAGCACCTGCACGAGCGCCATCTTCTCCGTGAGCGCCACGAGGCCACTGCCCCAGGCCTCAAACGTGGCGATCTGGTCCAGCGACGCCGGCGGCAGCAGCGTGAAACGCGTCTCTTCGTCGCCCGTGAGGCCGAACGTGACGCACGTGCCGCTGGTAAAGACGCACAGCAGGCGCAGCTCGTCGGTCCATGTCATGTTTACGAGCACTTCGCGCGTCGTGTCAAACGCTGTCCAATCCACAGCGCCCAATTGCTGGCCACAGGCGTTGTAAAGCTGTAATGCACGGGATAAGGACGACGGCTCGGAGGACGGCGGGGCGGCCTTAAGCTGTTTTTTCACGTCGCGCAACAACGCGATTGGGCCCCCGAACGGCGCACAGGCGACGACGTAGTCGCGCAGGTCCACGACGTGCTGAGCGGCCCAGTCCATAGCGTAGAGCGGCCACTTCTGGTACTGCACTTTGCCGAGCGTGTGCCACTCGGTCTCCATGACGGCCGATAACAAGGGAGAGCGAGGGGGGAGAGAGGAGGAAGGACGTGGACGAGCGGCTCTTGTGCGGTAGGATATGACGATATGGCGGACAAACGCGAGGCGCGTGTGCTATCCTGAACGGCTGTGCGGGGACTATGCGGTCAGCTGCGGGATAGCGAGTGGCTGGAAATCGATCGGTCAGCTGAAAAACGAAATATCGTACAAACTGGTCGACGTGTTTTTTAAGACGTGGTCGTGATAGGAGGACTACTACAAATAAGTGCTGGACGACTGACTACGCCTACTACTTCTATGTATAATAGTACAAACGCGTATCGTAGTAGTACTACAATGTGCGATTAAATGACTTGCTTGCGTCGGGCGACTGACGTCGTCTCTACAGCTACTATCGCTTTCTTGCTACTGGTGCATTGCAACAGCTTCTAGTACCACTACGTGGAGTACTAAGTAAGTATTGTCGCGGCGCAGTTCCGTGCGCTCTGTTTGTTTACCATTTCTAGAAAGTCGCAACCAGAGCAAGTGAGCACATGTACAGTGTTGTCTCCGTTTACTCTCTAGAACACACACACACATACGTTCGGCAATTGTCCGTCGATTTACAGACGCGCAAATTGCCACTGGAGTCGTAGCATCAGACTTCCAGTTGGCCGAGAGATCACGAGCCTCTGATCTGTCGTGCAAAAGGCGTCTTCTTCGACGCTTAGCTGCGTTGACGCGTCTTGTCACACCTGGCGCCACGTGCCATAATCTCCGAGATCCTGCGGGCCAAAGCTCATGCGCATGGACTTCCGCAGAGCCGGTTCGCGGTACATGTCACTCGAGTTGGCGTCAGGTTCGGCCAACAGGTCCGAGTCGCTCATGGCCGGGAAGACCAAAAGCGGCGACAGCTCATTCAGCGGTTCCAATGGCCGTTGCACTTTAGCTCGAGCCTCTTCGTCGCCGGCAGGAGGTTCTGCAGACTCACACTGTTCTTTTGCACCGCTTTCATCGACCGGCTGACGAGAGCTCGAGCGCAGCATGTGCAGCGGAATCTCACCCAACTTGGTCGTCGTACAGGCAGTCTGGACACTACTGCTGCGCTCGGGGCACGTGTAGTCATTGCGTACAATCATGTGGCGTTGCCGCTCCTTGTCGCGCACGTATCCCCACAGCGCGACAATGTACGTGCCCATGAGTAGCACGAGCACAGCAGCACTTTGTGATGTCGTGCCTCGTTCGAGGATGAAACCACTCATGGCACCGAGGTACAAGAGCAGGCTCACACACGTAGCATGAGTCGCCGTGCGAGCAATGCTGCCGCGTCCCTTGATGCGACGCCGCACATTCAGCAGCGAGTACTTGTCCACGCCATGCTGCATCGCAAAGTACAGCGTGCCAAGAGGAAGAATCAGTGGCACAACCGTGCTGAACATGAGCACGACAGTCAGCGTACTGATCTGCACGGCCGACTGCGTGCCCGTGTAAAATTGGTCTGCTTCCACGGCCTGAACCTGCTCTCGCGGTGTCAATGCACGCGGCCTTGCCCACGAGAATTTCACATACTCTGTAGCGCGCAGCAGCACAAGTGCGGTACCCAAGAAACAGCGCTGGAGGATATAGTCCACGTAGAAGATGCCCGAATTGTGCAAGAAAAGCGTTCCGAGCATACCCAGCACCTCGCCGTCGTTTTGCAAGTACAAGATGACGGCATCGATCGACATGAAGGCCAAACTCGGTACGAAGATGGTGTTGAAAATCAGGTACACAGACGCCGTGCGCAAGATCAACCGTTCCTTGGCCGAGTCCGTCGAGATAGGCTGGATACGCCCAGCAATCTGCAGCACGTTCAGCAATACTGCGTTGATCATCACCAGGATAAGCGTGGGGATGTAGCTTGCTAGCAGCTTGGCCATGGATGGCGACACCCTCTTGAGCAGCTCACCAAGCTGCGCCACGAAGTCGGACAAGGATTGAGCCGCGTTCGTCGAGTACGATGAGCTGCTCGAGATGGCCGATGTCACAGCAATGGGAGACGTGAACAGTAGAAGCACCACCAGAATGCACACGTTCACCAGCAATACCACCACTGTGCGCTTCGCAAAAGGGAATGACACACTCTGCCAGTCAATGTCATCAGGTTCAGGAGCTGCCCCCAGCTGCCAGCGCGTAAGACCCAGCTCGCGAACATACCGCACAAGCCGCGGCTGCGCGTGTTCTGGAAAGCGAGCGAGGATCGATGTGATACTCTGATTACGCGCTCGGCGGACAAAACGCGCACGGAGTCTTGCGGACTTGAAGATCACAAACGCACGTCCCGCACCCTTGTTCTCGTGCAATATGCGAGACAAGCACGTCATCTCGTCCTCTCGGAGCTTCTCGATGTGACGCGCAAGTCGTGACTCCTGCTCGTCCATCGGGACAGGTTTCATGCACCACTTGAGACAGCAAAACAAGTTGGCCAGCATCAAACGGAGCGACGGGATCATCATACCACCCGGCAATAGACGGAGCGACCACGACAGCTTCTCGCCATCGAGCTCACGTTTGTGCAGAATCTTCATGCGCGCCAGCTGCACTTCTTCACTGCGTCGACGAGCTTGCAGCTTGTGGAACTCGGCCAGATTAAACACGACACTCACGTCTTCCACGTAGCCAGGAAAGACTTCGTCCAGCAGACGCAGCATTCGCTGCTCGCGAAGGTTCTTGGGCACTCCTCGGTCGATAAAGAGCGATCTGTTGCTTAATGTCGAGGGCTGCATGCCAATGAGATGTGTTCGTTTCGACGGCTCCGACTGCGCTTCTTCCACCACGTTTCCATTCTCCTCCCTCTGCTTGTCCTTTTCCTCAGCAGGCAAACAGCCGTTCTTCGCGTCGTCCGTCTCTTCCTTTCCAGTCGACAAGTCAACGTCTTCTGGTGCTGCAGCGTTTTCTTTTATGATCGCTGACTTGACTTCTTCCCCCGCTGGCTGGTCCGCTGCAGCCACACTAGCGGCGTTCGAGACAATGGACGACGACCGGTGCATCAATCGCCCGTCCCTTCCACTCGCTCGACCCGATGAATCGCCCGTCGGCATCGTGGCCAACGCACTCAGTTTCCGATAGTACACCACAAACACCAGCGTCGTCACGTAACACGTGACCACCGGCACCCACAGGTACGGCGACTCGTGCGGCATCACTCGGATCGTCGCATGCGCGAACGACCACCACTTGGTATCACTGTCACTTGCAGCAGCTTTTGCGTCGCCCGTCGCTTGATTCACTGCACCAAAGTCCGTTGTCGTCGCGCCTGAGCCGTCTGCAATGGCTCCAATGCTCTTCGCTGCGGCTTTTGCCGCTGCCTCTACGTCATGCATTGCGTTCGCGCCAATCGCGAGGTACAACGGCAGCAACACGAGCACTGCAAAGACGCTCAGGACGCCAAGAAGACGGGCCGTGTACTGCTGGTACAGCAGGTAGAACGTGCCTTCGGGGCCGAGTCGGCGCTCGACGTCCGTGTCTCGAATCGGTGTGTGCCACAGCAACTCGCGCCACTTCTGCAGCGTAAACGCGGCCGGCGCCTGCCCCGCCAGCGACAGCAGCGCGCGCGAGCCAAAGCGAAAGAGACTGAAGCGCGAGCTGCGCGCCCGCGCTTGGAACACTGCGAGCGCCATGAGGAAGAGCGCACCGTTGAAGCTGAGGACGAAGCCCATGCCCTGCCAGCCCATGGCCGCGTCTTTGGCGACCGTCGCATTGTAGTCGACGTGCCAAATGTTACTACTGGACGGCGACGCGGCGGCGCTCATGTTCGTTGGCGACTGAGGGAGTGGTTACGAAACGATTTGCTTGGGCGCGCGAGGGGGTACACACAGAGCGGAGTGGCAAAAGATATTCGATTCGAAAGGTCGTGGGGACAAATCACTGGACGATCCCCGCACGACGACGTGCATCGACTTTTTTCTGACCGGTGGTCATCACAGCGACAGACGATATAATAAAGCGCTTGGTAAGACCGGCACGGACGTGCGCTATCGAAAGTGATCCCGACTTTTTCAATTAACGCGCCCTATGTTCTGCTTTTTTCTTCTTCTTTTCTTCTCGTTTTTGTACCGGGATACTTGCCTTGTGTGCCAAGTCGACACGTATCGCTCTCGTCCAGCCAATCCAGCACAGACACCAACTGCTGACTCCTCTTGCTGCCGTGCAGCACCTCCACAGAGACAGACGCACCCTCGACGATGACCTCGTGCACAAAGACGGCTTACAGCACTTTCTTGTTCAGCGCGCGTGACGTCTGGTGGATGAGTTGGTCCACGATCCCAATGACTGTGAACACGCCGCCGATGATCGCGCACATGGACGTGAGGAAGTGGTACAGCGGCACAGTGTCCTCCGAGATGCGCACCGACATGGGCGAGAGGTCGTAGCGGAACATGATGGACGGCAGGTCCTCCGTCTCCACGTACTCGTTCGAGTGCGCCGTGTACTTGTACACGTTGATCGCCGAGCCATTGCTCTGCACGTACGCATTCGTGACCACTTTGATGTAGTGCACGTACGTGTGGTTCCTGTTGAACGACGTGAAGTCCATGTTGTCCAACCGGTGCGTGTACAGCTGCGCCTGCGCCATCGCGGGCAACTTGGCCATGTCGCGGGCCGCCAGGTCTTCGCCAAACCACAGCCCGCCCACCGTGTGCGACGCATTCACGAGCGACGAGTCCATCGAGTAGGCCGGATTCGACAAGTGCACGTGGAAGTTGCCGGGCACGCGCTTGACGTTCAAGTGGCCAAACAGACGACATCCTTCGGGGCCAACGGCGGAGCGAGCGATCGCCAGGCCTTGCTCGTGCGCCTTCTTCTTGTCCTCTTCATGATACTTCTTCTTCCGCGCTTCCACGTGGTCGACTTCGCCAGCCATCAGCTGTTTAAACTTGTCCACAAACGCATCGAGCGTCCGGTCGCCAAAGTACATCTCGACCGGCGAGGTGTCGCCGTCCTTGTAAAACAGAATGCTCGGGTACGCGCGGATGTAGTGCTTCATGCAGAGCTCTGGATGCGCCTGGCAGTCCACCGACGCTACCCGTAGCTGCTGTCCATAGTGCAGCGACGGCAGCGTCTTGGCCACGCGCAGCCACACTGGCTCGAGTCTTTTGCACCAGACACACCACGGCGCGAAAAAGTCAACGGCCACGTAGTGATGTTCGTTCAGGAACGGCTCAAACGTCTCCTCGGTAAGCTCCGTCACTACCGCGTCCGACTCGGGCAAGTCGCCGTACTCGTCGTCATTGGTAAACAGCGGCATGACCTGCTTATCCCGTGCAAGTCCGACGCCGCGGCCCTTCTGGTCCAGACGGATCTTGTAGATGTTCGACGTCATGTTGTGCTTGCGCGTGCCCGTCATGTCCGACACGTCGACGCTCGCGAACTCGCACGGCAAGTCCGGGACCGTAATATTGAAGTTGATGCGCATCGTCTGGTCCAGTTCTTCGTCCATGACAATGTCGTACTTGTAGTCGACCGTCAGGTAGCTGTTGAACTCGAGGATGAAGAGCACGAACATGACGAGGCAGCCGAATATCGACAGACTCACGCCCGGCAGCGTGCTCACAGTCAGGTCCTGCAACAAACAGAGAGGCACAGAGACAGAGAGACAATAGCAGGGGGAAGAGCACACACGTTAGGCGTTGCAACGGTAGCGCGTCATGCACAGCAATCGACAACAGCGCTGTGGCTCGACGGTGCGTACCTCGGGGATCTTTTTGTAAAAGTCCCATTTCTTCAGCACGTCAATGGCGCCCATGATCGCCAGTCGCTTCTTTGTGTTTAGTCCGTAAGCGATCGATCAACCGGTTGGTCACTCAGTCACTTCGTCAGCCGACGCGATGCGCTGCAGCAACGAAAACACACACACTGCGCAATGTCTGTGCGCCTCTACTGGAGCTGCTCTCGGGGCAACGGACTGATTACGATTGTGTCGATTCGAGTGGTCCGCGCTCGCGTCTTACGTGGCGATCGCCCACGGGGGGGGTCGGGGCCGCTGGTATCGGTTTTCACAGGGAACACCACACCACACCACACCACACCCACCAAACACCCGCACAACGCGACGACGCGCCCGAAATCGGACTTTGCGCGATGCGCCACGGTACGGCGACCGCGCCGGCTCATGTCGCACGGCCGCGCCCGTCACTCGCCGCTTTCGCCCGCACAAGTGCCGGCCCCAGCGCCGCCTCTTGAACCGCCGCTGCAATCGCGCGACGTGCGACTGCTCGTGCCCCGTATGGTCTTCTGCGGCGAGTGCGGGTCGCCACTGGCGCCCAGCGACCTGCAGGCGCCCACGTGTCCGCATTGCGGTGCGTGTCCGCATTGCGCATTGCGCGCGCGCGCGCGGTCTGTTCTTTCCCCTGTCTAATCGAATAGGGCGTGCTTGTATTGTGTTTGGCAGGTCAAGCCCGCCCCGGGGTCGACGCAGCGCTGCCGCCCGCCGATGCTGCGCAGGCGCTCGCCGAGTACGAAGCGCAGCAGCGCGCGGCGGTGGAGCACGCGAACGCCCGTCGACAAGCAGAGCTCGAGGCGCAGCGGCAGCAGCATCTCGAGGTGGCGCAGGCCGCGCGCGCCCGACGCGAAGCGGCCGAGCGCGAGGCGCAGGAGAAACTCGCGAAAGCGGCGAAGCTGCGGGCAGCAGCGCTGGCGGCGCAGGAGGAGCTGGAGAAACAGGAGGCGAAGCGCGTGGCAAAAGAGCGGCAGCGGGAAGAGAGTCGGCGGCTGCGCGAGGAGCAGCAGCGACGGGAAGCGAAGCGCCGTGCGGCGCAGGAGGACGCGCGACGCGCGTTTGAAGCCAAACGGGAAGAGGAGCAGCGCTGGGCGCAAGCGAAAGAGGACGAGGACCGCTTGCGGCGCGAGGCCGTGCGCCTGTCGACGCTGTCCGAGTCGGCAGCGGCGCTGGTCGCTGCGACGTCGAGTGCAGCGGCTGCGCCGGCAGCGGCAGCGACAACAATTGCGTGTGTGCAGTGCAACGCGTCGCTGAAAGCCGCGCAGAAATTCTGCTTGCAATGCGGCACGAAAGTCGCTGCTGCTCCTGTTGCTGTCACGTCTGGCAGTAGCTGGTCGTCGCCTGCTGCTGGGAACGCTGTGGGCGGCAGTGGCTTTGCTGCGCCGTTGCAGCGCACCCAGTCGTCGCTGTCGAATTCGTCGTCGTCGTCCTCATTTTCCCTGCCAGGCGGCGACCACAAGTGCACGACGTGCAGTTTCACGCTCAAGGCAGCACAGAAATTCTGCCCAAAGTGCGGGTCGAAGGTACTTGGTGCTGCACCGGCGCCAGCAGCGATGCCGTCGCCTGCGTCTTCTGTTAGCTCGGTATCTTCTTTCTCGGCTTTGGAGCTCACACCGGCAACACCGAGTGCTTGCACGGGGTGTAGCAAGCCCGTGAAGCCCACGCAGAAGTTTTGCTTGCACTGTGGAACTAAGGTGACGGCAGCCGCTACACCCGCTGCCGTGGCCCCAAGTTTGCCGTCATCGTCGTACGCGACTGTGCCGTTGCCTGCACCGATCCCTACATTCGGATCGCAATCAGCGTCCGCTTCGCAGCCTAGCACGAAGCGCTGCCCGACGTGCAGCAAAGAGTGCAAGTTTGGGGCCAAGTTTTGCATGGGCTGTGGCTTCAATTTTGCCAAGAGCGACGAAGAAGAAGTCGCGCGGAACATGGAGACGGCACGTCTGCGTCGACAGGGAGTTCGGGACCAAGAGCAGCAGCAGCGTCAGCAGGCTTCGCTAATGGCCAACCAGGCTGCACAAGCGTTCCAGCCGTCCTGGTGACTTGAGTAGTTCCAGCTCGCGGACGGTTCAGTTGATGGCTGTCATAGACGCGAAGTCGGGGAACAAACAGGTCAGAGACTGCGAGTAAGTTTTATACACGTCACTTTGTTTGGAACTGGGAACTTTTGCCAACTTGCTGGTATGGTGTTGCTGTACTTCACGAAATCAATCGACCACGTCAAGTGCATTTGCCATTGTTTCTTTACCGCCTTAGCAAGCGTAGCTATCTGGTGTATGTTGCATACGCTCCTATGTACACTGGTTTCTGGCTGACTGCTGCCTTTGTCGTTAGCTTCGGTTTTCCTCACGATAGTGTTGCCCCTTGCACCATTTGCCTCTTTGAAGACATTGTCATGGCGTTCGGCATCGGGCAGATGTAAAAGCGAAACAAACAACCGATGGGCATGAGATACAAGTCTTGTATCTACAGCTTTACATTGCCGCTGGTCGTCTGTCCTACACCACGTGCAGTTCGTTTGCTGATATGCAAAGAGGTCGCATCGCGTATTCCGAGCGATTGAGACAAAAGAGGGGCTCACCTACTGACGAAATGTGCATTCGGTCTTGAACAAGCGCCGTGCGACCAGACAAGCCCAAGTCGGATCAGAGTGTCGTATCAGCCTTTGTCACCATAGCGACAAGCTTCTTTATGGCTGTAGCCTGGTCCTCAATCATTCTCGTTTGACGTTCGAGCATCGCATTTTGCTGCTCAAGAAGGTGTATCATTCGATCGCTCTTGGACTGGCTCCTTTGAGTAGCACTTTGCTGCTGCTGCTGCTGCTGCAACGGTTCAGCGGCCATCGCAGCCATGTGCTGCTGGTACTGCTGAAAGTGCTGACCAAACGTTTGCGGCTCGAGCGCGTTCATTGCCATTTGCTGGAGCTGTGGCTGACCAGGGTCTAAGCTTGTAGTGTCGTCATCCATCGTGGCCGTTTCTGCGAGCGCAGGTACTTTTTCCTCCACCAAGACACCGGTCGACAAGTTGAATCGCTTGCAAAAGTTGTAGTACCATCCATTCGACGCCTGAAAGCTGCCAAGCCCATACTTGGGCACCAAGAGCTTGGCCTTCTCCTTGACAAGCGACGGCGGGACTGGCACTTTCCGCGCCTTTAGCCCGCGCACCCACTCGAACAGCTCTCGCTCGAACGGCACGCTCAACACGTGCCCCCCTCGCTTCCGTCCGTCCCTCGTGTCGGTACTGCCATAGCGGTACCGGGCCCGCACCTCGGCCCCTTTCTGCTTTAGCTTCTGAATCGCCGCGCGCGTAATGCCATAGCGCCTCGCGATCTCCGCGTTCGACAAACTGCCGCTGCTCTTCTCGAGCAGATCCAAAATCTCGACACGCTGTCGATCCGTCAGCCGCTTCCCAACGCCTTTGCCTTTTTTCGTTGGCTCCGCAGACGTCTCGGAAGCCGAAATGGAGACGTCGTGTTGCATCGCTTCGAGCGTCCCGGCGTAGGCGGAAGACGGGTCGGTCGACTCGCCACCGAGGGCACTTGACGGGGGCGCGTACGCTGCGAGGGGCGCGTTCGTAGGCAGCCGCGCAGCCTCTGCAGTGACGGTGTCTCGGAGCTCGGCCGACGGCTGCATCGGTTGTGTCGACATACTGAAATCCGAGTTGAGGCAGCCAGCCATACAAAACCTGTCGTAGCGTATACTTACCCGTCCTGGTATACTTCGTCAAGGGATATCACTCGACGGAGATCGAGTATGCCCGACGAGAATCAACGCGCGCAATCGTTGGATCAAAAAGAGAGACCGCGTGTTGGGGGTTACGACGCTGACGAACGTAACCCCTCACACACTACGGACATCAGCAGCAGTATCGACTGGTCCAGTGCTTGAACGAACGCCTGGTAAGTCGGTACTGCTTTCGTAGTAGCAGTCAAGCGCGTATCGCGTATGCTGACGACGGTCGAGTCATATATGACGATGTAAAGCTCAGACACAACTGTCGTTCAGCACAAAAGATGTGGGCTCCTGGATGATGACTTTTGCTGCGCAACATCGCTGTCGATTCTGCCTGTGCTGCTGATGCACAAGCGACGGCAGCCACATCGATGTTTCTACCTCACCGAGGAGAGCAACATCTGTAGGCAAGTATGCACATGGATGTGCGATCGAGAACCCGCTTCGCTGCCACTCTACGAGCACAGCACAGCAAACGGTTTTCTGCATCTTCACATCGCTCACTGTGAGCCAAGACGGTCAATACTTGCCCTTCTTCACTTTCAACCCGATCAACGTCACCGTCTGCAAGACGTTCTACACTCTCTAACCCATCCGAGCTCAATGGCCAGAACTCCCTCTTGTCCTTCGACACCGCGCTAGCTGCTCTCAGAAGCACGAGCCATGTACCATACCGTCACCTCTATCCATTCGAGTGAGCGTACAAGTCCTACTGAGCTTTTCTCGACAAACAGAGTCTGCTGCACGACCCCTGTTTTTTGTATACCCGATCTGATTAGGCATCTCGCTCCATCCTGCCTCGAATATTCCTATCGAGGGTATTCTCCGCGCTCCAGAAATAGCAAAACCAGCGGGCGCCCCCGAATAGTAGTATTTCGCCCGTGAGACTTCCAGCGCACACGCATTTCGACCAACATGTACCCCGCGGCCTGCAGTAGCGGCCATGGCCTCGTCGTGCGCGCCTGGACGCGGCGTCAGGCCTTCTCGCATCAAGCTCTTCGACGCTGGGAAGAGGTGTACAGTGGTCAACGGGCAGCCCGGGCAACGCCATGTCCGCCCGAGCGTCTGCAGCTGAACGGCCGGTCGTACCTCGTGCCCACACTGACTCTATCGAAAGGGACCGGCAAAGACGCGAAGCCCCTGCAGCCGCTTTTCCACGCGACAGCAAAGCAAAAGCGACCGACGCCAATCGTATTGGACTTGCACCGAGTCTCGAGTGACGGTGCGTCGTCGTGGGGTGCACGATAGTTTCTAGTTTGCACTGGGGTGTCGAGAGATGGATGGTATACGTATAGATATAGATAGAGAGAGGGACTGCGATGGGCATCATGCGCTGCGGCCCGAGTGTTGATGATATTGCTGTGTATGTTTGCTGACCTGCAGGCTCACCGCACTCGCAATCGATCAAGCGACAGGAGCTGAAACACCACATGTTGCAACTGCAGGTTGCATCGAAGCCCGTGCTTGTCGTTATTGCCGTCTACACGGAGTGCTGAGTCACGATGATGATGATGATGTGTGTGTGTCGCAGGAAGCTGGATATGTCCCGGTGGGCATTACAAACGCTAGCGATGACGTCAAGCAGATAGCAGCAGCTCTGGAACTGCCCTGCTTCATTAGCACGAGGCTTCATCCGGAGCAGCCGCGAGACGCTGTGGAAGCAGATACAGAAGAACCGGTGACGCCGGACGAAGTGGCGACAGCTCTTGATGCGACAAGGCCGTTCGGTGAAGACGAGCAGACGACATCGTTGGAGTCGACACCGCCGGCAAGTGAACGGCTTCCGCCAATGATCGTGACCCACTTGGTGCGCTCGGGTCAGCAAATTTACGCGCAAAACAGGTCACTCGTTGTGCTGGGCAACGTGAGCTCTGGTGCCGAGGTGATGGCGGACGAGGATGTGGTCATTCTGGGCGCGTTGAAGGGCCGCGCGCTCGCTGGCATTGGTGGCAACGTCCGAGCGACGATCGTGTGCCAGAGTTTCGACGCCGAGCTCGTCTCCATCGCGCATTGCTTCACGACGTGTGACGACTTGGAGCAGAATGGCACTGCACTGTTGCAGCTGCACAAACCGACGGTGGTCTTGCTGAGGAATGACCGGCTGTTGTTCGAGTCGTCGCTGGCGTAACGGTGTGAGGCATTGCACGAGCAAAGTCGGACGCTTGATCATCAATTACTGTACCAGTGTGCTCTCCCCGTCGCCCCGCAGCTACTCGTCTTCTTCTACCTCTTACACGCTTGACATCAATAAATACTGTTCTTACACGCTATCCTACATAACTTTACCGCACTCATCTGCATGGTCCACCTGCCTTCGCTACATACAGCTCGCTGCTCTGTGTCCAGTTCACTGGGCCTCGATCCTCGTCAAACTCGTTTACTGCCTCTTGCAAACAGCGGCGGTACTCATAGGAGCTCTGGCAGTCACGATCACAAAAGGCACCCGCGTCCAGCGCACCAGACAGCGGGCGGAAGAAGAGCAGCCCACAATTGCGACACGTGATCTGGGCGGCCTTGCACTGCGCCTGAGTCCAGAACTTAGAACGGGGCCCAGCAAATGTCGGGGTAGCATCCACAATGTCTCTGCTGCCTTCTTCATATGCGTCGAGCTTTCTCCACACCGGGTCTCGCTGCCAGTTGCTAGTCGCTACCGCATCTTCTGCTGTCTTTACCGTTGCAGGACTCTTCATATCAACCGGACATGAACACGCTCTTGGTCCCAACTGCATTCGACGCTGCAAAAAGCGCCACGCGCGCGCGTAAAAGCTGCGCTTCTGGCCATCGTCGTCGTCCACGATGCACGTACTGGTGCAGCTGGCCGTGGAGCAGCTCATGTTCGCTCAACTTGTTCCGCGTGGCAGTGTCCGCACAAGTAATTGAAGGGCTCCAATGATAGTGATGATGACGATGGTGCGGATGATTACGATACCCCTTTCTTGTCTCGGTGAGACAGGGAGCAGCGAGGAAATACGTAATCTTCTAGACAGGGAATTCCATCACTGACGAGCGCCGACGCACGAGGTCACTTGCCAAGCGAGACATGGGGAAGCAATCCAGCAACACCCCTTTCCCATGTCCACAACAAGTCGCCGTAAGTCGCTTTTTGCAGCCAATGACGTCGTCGCCAGCTGGTTTTACGGAGCGCGCGCAGTCTCGTCCCGGTATCCTACCGGTATTGCACTGCCACCGACCGCGTGTCGACGGTCCTTGTTTCACGTACGCCACACTAGTTAGCTCCTGTAGCACGTATACCACGCCACTTTCGACCAATCACGTGCACCACCCGCACTCCCAGCTCCACTGCATCACTCTCCCAATGGTCCACTCGTTCCTGCGCTCGCACCGTCTGCTGTCGTCGTTGGTGGCGCCGACGGCGCTCCTCGTCACGTCGTCGACGCTGCTCGAAGCTGAGGAACCGCAACGAGAGCCACTGCAAACGCAACGCGAGCAACCGCAACCGGACGTGCCACCTGCGGTCGACTTCATCGGTGTCTTTGTCGAAGCTGCGTCGGCTGCGCGACTGCGGGAGCGGTTTCCACGCACATGTCGCAGCAGTAACGCGCCGCTGGTGGTCGTGCTGCAATACCAACCGACGCACCAGGAACAGGAGGCGTTTGCGCCTATTTTAGGCACGAAAGCCCAGTTGCAGGTTCAGGGGGTGGTCGAAGACACGTATGCTCAGACGGTGAGTGGGTAGGTGTATCCAATGTGCCTTTTATTGCTCGTGCCGTATCCGGACAATCGCGTGAAAAAACGTGGTTTGGATCTATTGAATTCATTGGATATATATGTATATGTATATTATATGGAACATGTGAACGGGTGGCTGACAAAATGACTTTTTTTCCGTCCTGGCGTAGCTGGTCGTGGCCGTGACGACCGAAGCAGGGGACTCGCTCGAGCTTGAAGACGCTGCAGAGCCCGCGCACTTGACGCTGTCGACGTCAGTTGACGCACTGGGCGCTTCTGGCTACACAAGTGTCTTGCTCGAGCGTCTGCGCGCGAGCGACAAGCTTCGTTACTTGCTGACCAAGGACGAAACTGCGACGCAATGGACAGGTACGCTCCCGGACTTTCACTCGAAGCACGTCCCGCTCTTCAGTCCGTTTCCAGCGGTCGAAGCTTCCGTCAAGAAACTGGACAAGGAGCTCACGCTCGAAGGTACAGTGTGTCTGGCGTCCCGCTTTGACGCTACGTCGGGCACGTGCTTGGTACCAAAGGCCGAGTGCGGCTTTTGCAAGTTTATGAAAGCTGGACCCTGTGGCCGCGAGTTTGCCGCGTGGGAGAGCTGCTTGGACCAGTGCAAGAAGAGCGGGGAGGATTTTATTGAGAAGTGTGGATCGCAGACGCTAGGATTGCGTGACTGCGTGGACGCGAACCCCGAGTACTACCACGTGCTGACTGACGACAATCCAGAAGACGAAACAGAACAAGAAGAGACGACGGCGACGGCGGCGACGACGACAACGGAGAAGACGACAGAGCAGGACACTGAAGCTACGAAGACGGAAGACGAGAAGTGAGACTGTGTGTCTTCGAATTCGGGTGTATCGATCTGGTTGTTGGCGTGGCGGTGAGCACTTGCCGCTGCTGTTCGGCCATGCTCTTGTGCGTGCGACGGACGTTGCTCGACTAGCTAGAAGACAGCTGCAAAGGAAGTATTATGGTTCAACAGTGGCTTGAAAGTGCACCGGTTGTTTTCAGTAGGGGTGACTTCCGAGGTCACCCCTCGTGTGGGCCTGTTAACTTGTCTGCTCTTTTTTGTTTGTGTCTCTTGTCCGACAGGGTCCGTTTGCTCCTTGCGACTGTCGCACTGATCAGGCGATAGTCAGAGGGGATAAGTGTTGCACATGCCGCGTGGGTATCACACACTTTGCCAACGGCGGCGATTGGACATGAACCCGAACCAAAGTCGTCTGCTGTTGCATTGTCTCAGCAAATGCTCGAAACCTCTGTGTGGGGTGCGACCGATGCATGCACACAAGCGCGTGCGAGAGCAGGCTGCCCGGCTCCTACCGCTCATGGTCAAGCATGTTGAGAACCAGTGTTTGTCAAGACATTGGCAAGACGCAAGCAAGCAGCCATGGGCATGTAGCACTCGTTCGGAGCACGATACGCCAGGCGCAAGCAGACGCGTTGTGGTGGGTACTTTGACGCATGTGTGGAGTGCATATGGGAAACGTCGGGTCCAAGCAGACGACAGCAATTACGCCGAACGCAGAGAGTGAGCTGTATGCAGCTGGCTGCGCTCAGTCTGCCGGCAGTTGACAACGCTCTACTGGAGGCATCCGCGCAGACGTCGTGCATTGTCGCGTATATTTGTACCAGCGCACGGCAGAGTCAGCTTACCGAGCATTTGAGCTCGATCACGACTCGAGCCTGGCGCTTGCAGGTTATGGCTAAGCGGGCCCCACAGCTCATTGATGCTGCTGGGAGTGTTGGCACAGGGATGGCTCGAGTCTTAGCGATGATGAACGCACTGGAAGGTCTCGACTGGATTTGGCGTTCGTCAGTTCCTTGTGAATATACCGTTCGCGAGTGTAAACAGCTGAGTGGGTCGTGACCGTGGACAGGAGAGAAGATATCGATGGTATATGCGCCAGGGCTAAGCCGTGTCAACGATGTGCGGTCGAGTTTTATTGACACAGCTCAGCTTTGGCGCAGCTTTGCTCAGCGAGCGGAAAGGTTGTTGCTCGACAGGTCAATTGCGATCGAAGATTGTTTCAGTATGAATCATAGATAGCAAGTAAAGGAGGATATCGAAGACTGTATTGTCAATGTACTCTGGCACTCGAGCAGCGACTTGGACATTGGAAAGCAATTGTTGCCACCCCCAGCGCAGCGGTGATTCGGTGTCTGCACGACTCGTCGATTCTTACTGTTGGTACGCATTTTTCGTGCACAAGTGCGCGTCTGATGTTTATCAAGTCAGGAAATGGAAATGCGTATGCGTGTTGAAAAGTCGCAAGCCGTACAAATGTACGAGGATGATGGGATTCGTATATGCAGCGATGGTTTCTGGGTTACGACTAACTGGGTAGCTTCATCAATTTGTTGACCGGGTGAGCTGCCGGCACAGTTGCAGTTAAGAATTGCTGAGCGTCTGCAAGAATGGATTGGCGACACGAGACCGCTTGTGTACTACAGGCTGTGTTCTGTAGGCGCGCACATGCAGCGCATTCGGTTAGTGTGCTTCGATGCGGCAATCCGACATTGCAGACAGACACACCTCTCGCTCGACGGGTGGCAACGACAGACAAGTTATCGTGCACCAAAGCGACGTCGCCAGTGATGGAGGATAATGGAAACCTGTTTTGATTCTGTCCAGGCAAGACGTGGGCTAGAGTTGACTTGAGGCTGTAAACGTTGCGCTGACCTCTGCGACAGAGTTTGCATAGCTTGTGCACCAATTAGCTCAATGAGGAGTGCAAGTCGATGCGTGGCATAAATTTAGTGGGCGGAGCGATGCACAAATGCGAAGGCTTGAAAAGCATCGACTTCGTCTGAGAAAAGTCATTCACCCGCAGAGGCATATAAATTCCAGCACAAAGCAACGAGATGAACACTGACGTCACAAGAAAGACAGGACAGTGGAGCAGCAGATCGCAGAACTCTCTGAGATGCTGCCTATGATCGAGTGTACAGCATGCGGGAAAGGAACGGTACTTGACTGATTACATGGCAGCAGTTTAGCTTTCGATCGTTTATCATTAAGTCACTTGAAGACATTGTGCTGACTCGCTCAATGCTACAAGTCGACGGGTGCTTCGAATGCACGACGTCGAGAGGCCAAGTAGGATACCTTTTCCCATGGCGCTAGCTGCAGTTTACCACGACAACAATAGTTTACTGCACAAACCGAGTGGTTGGGGCAATCTTTGGCAGACGATCGTGAACATCGACAATCACTATTCTGATCGAAGGGCCACTTTATGCGCGAGGCACTCCCTCTTGCAGCCGCTGTGTCCATGGTCGCCGTCGAGCCCAGCGCAACGGCTTGACGCAGTCATACATGTTTGCATGACCGATCAACAATATTAGGGAAGCATAACCGAAGCGATCCCTGGCTTCTTGTAAGTCGCAACTGCCTCGCGTTCTATCAAGAGCAGCTGCTGTGATTGACGACCACGTCGATGCTTCTTTCGTGTACACGTATCATTCTCCGCATCTCTGATCCCTCCACAGTTTCTGTCTATGTGGTCCAACAGCAATTTGTGGATAGTGAGTGACCACGTCATTGTCATCCTTTCGGGTCCGCAGACAGCGATCTGCATCATTCTTTTTCGGACGTCGTCAGGTGCTCCCAGCGACCCTCGCGATTCCAGATGCGGATCATTTCATATTCTGCTGATGGCAAACCGTTTCTCCGATCGCAGACGTGTGTTTGCGCTAGCAATGAGCCGCTCGAGAAGTTGCAGTTTTCCGATCAGTTAGTTCCGGCGCAGAAGACCGGCGGGCAGTTCGTTACGGTCGCGTCCGACTTGTCGTTCGTGCTGGCGGACCTCCTGATCAGTCAGTTGTTACATTATTGTGGAGGAACACAACACACCAATCCGACACGTTCCAATGTTCGCTAAGTATTGGAATCTCAAACGCTGAAAAAAGCACAACTTGCTATCGGAATCCGCACAAGTCGATCGTTGGTCTTGTGGTGCTCTCTCTTCACCTGAACGCACGTAGCTGCTATCGTGAGGTTGAAACACGCACTTAAGCCATCTTTCACTGCACGGCGCTCGAGCCACTGCCTGTACACCGACCAGCAACTTAGTGCTGTACTCGCTTTTGACCGTGCGACATCAAGTACAAGAGTTTGCTTTTTAAAATGTGCCCAGTCCGGTACAACGACACTTTTCATGAGCGCAATAGAATGACTTAGTGCTGCGATTCCTCACGAGAGGAAACAAGTGCCATACAGACGCCGTGCAAGTTGTTTCATTGCATCGCTTCGCCGTCAGCTCTTCTTTGTGAACATCGCAGTTTTGCCCACTGCAAGAGAAGCCGCCACCATCCGTCGGCTCATCCGTCGGCTTCTTACCGATACAATAAGCTCATGGCCATTCAGACACGGGGATGCTCCCAGCTTCTATGTCTTTCAGATATGTATGATACAACTGATATAGCAAAAACTGATTGATCTCGTAGACCAGCACGACTGCCACATTGACAGATCAAATAATACACCGCTTTGCCTTGAGCTGATGACGTCCGACCTGTTGGAACCAGCGCCTCTATGGTGCTTGTCATCCAGTCCAGAGCGACTGCCGTCAACTACTCGAAGAACAGCACAGCAATGTCTAGAACTGTGTTGGGTACGAGTTGAACGAGGAGCTGGTCGTCGTTAAGTGCGAGCTCGTCATAATCACAATTGCCCTTTCTTTTTTCGAGCCCTCTCGGCCAATAAGAACTCACGCATGCGCGGAGTGCAAAAAAAGCGAGGCAAGGAAAAGTAACGCTTACGGATAGTTTGCCTCTAACTCCATGAGCGCCTGCCACACGTGACACTTTTGTATCGGTGGGAACAACAACTCGTGTGACAAACCCCCTCGATCGACCAGCACTGAAAATTACCATTTGAGGGGGGAAACAACCCGATCATTTGGCGCTGTCTGTAATTTATCGCGCGCACATTCTCCACCTTGAACTTGGCTAAGTAGCCACATCCACAAACGCGTCGCTTCTTCGACACCAGCACTGCCCTTTCAGCCCACCAAGTTGCCCCGAGACGCGCGCAACAATTGCGCACTCGCCAAGTCCCGCGGCAACATTGCACTGCCGCGCTCGCCATGCTCGACTGGACCTCGGCGCACGTTGCCGACCCCCAGACGTCGTCCATCCCCACCGACCTTGAAGTGTTGGAGCCCGTCTTGTTGGAGCAGACTGTCGACGACATCGACGTCGATTGCGCGGCAGACGTGGGGCTCCCGAGCACCGTGTCGAGTGAGCTGGACGCGATTTGGCGCGCCGTCACGAGTCCGTCGTCGGACGTCGACGCGCAAAACGGCGTGAGCACCGAGCCGGCCGATCCACTCGTCGCAGAGACCGGCACGTCACGTCGACGACGTGCGCCGCCGAGCGCGGCCAAAGCGCGTCTCCGCAGCTACGAGCGCCGCAGTCGGTCCAAGCGCGAGGTGAGTGGCCGATCGAGAGCTGTATCGACCAATCACAGCAGCGCGGAGGGGTCGACGCTGCAAGCTTCTGCATAAAACAGACGAACCAGACGAGCCACTGACGCGCGACCTGGCCTGTCTATGTCGCTATGTTGCAGCGCACCATGTTGACCATGAAAGAGCAAGTTGCCGTTCTAGAGGCGCAGCTCCAGGAGCGCTGTGCGCGCGAGCCGAGCGCGCATTTGCTCCAGCACAAGCTCATGGCACTGGCCCTCGAGGCCACGACGCTCCGCCACGGCAACTACGAGCTGCACCGCGCGCTGGACGCCCACGAGTTCTTCCACGCCATGTTGCAGCTCGAGTACGACCACGTACGTTCCGTGTCGACCGCCACGCCGGCTGTCCTGTCTCTCTCTCTCTCGCTCGCTCTTGTTGCTCTGTATTGTGTAATGCTGTTGCTGAGTGTGTCTGCTGCTGCTGCTGCTGTGTGTGTCTGCACATAGCGCGAGGCAACGGCCGACCCAGTGCCCCCCCCAGCTCCTCAAGACGCACGCGCCGTGGCGCGGCATCGACGAGGCCGCGTGCCTCCGCCTCCTGCGCGACTCGTGCATCGAGATCAGTGCGTTTTCCCGCAGTGCGGACTTTGTCTCGAGCGGCCTCGAGATCTGTGGCTGGCGCGAAAAGCGCAAACTCGAGGGCCACAACGTCAACTTTATGTTCCACAAGCGGTTCGCTACCGCCTGCAGCGAAGAGTTAGCGGCCCGGAGCTGGGCCATGCGCGCCGTGCAGGACCAAGTGACGCGCTTCTTTGGCCACAGCCTCGAGGTCCACGTGGAGGTGCTCCAGCGCTTTGCCAACGACGTGGTCGTCGTGCGGCGCAAGATCAGGCACACGCTGGACGGGTGGGAGCACCACACGATCTATCTGCTGTTCCGCACCAAGACGCCGGACGGCCATCTCGTCTGCATTCGAGACATGAACCCCGTTGACGCGGACGAGCTGCAGTTGCTGTGGGAGTCGGGCGGCACGCCGCCGGCGCCGAACGTGATCTGGTCAAAGGCTTTTATCTGGTGGAAGTTTACCACGTTGGAAGCGGCAGGCCAGCCGCAGTCCAGTGGCTTTGAAGTCGAGTACGGGGGATCACTGGGCTATGCGACGCAGGCAGACGCTGCTTTTTGGATGCGGGAGGTACTGGTCCTTGCGCTTCGGTGGGAAAACTTGGTCGTGGGGCCATTGATCACGCTGGACTAACGAAGGGGAGAACGAAAGAAAGCAAGAAGGAGCGTGGGACGAGGCCAGCGGACGACCGTCACGTAACTGGCGTGTTTTCGCTGGCCGGTCCCACGTCGCGGAGCCTATGCGCGTTGCAGCACGAGCATTGTTGTGTGTGAGACGTGCTGCTGCAAGCGCTGGAGAGCAGGCTATTGCTGTACATTTGCCGGTTCTTCGGCCATGGATGTTTTCGTGGAAACGAAGGCACGTTGGACAGGTCGCGACTCGATCTGCCTGGGATTCGCGGTACTTGCTGTTATCAACGTGATCATGTGCCTATGGGTCGCAGCTACGTCCATGTCAATGGCGCGACGCCAAGCCACCGCCGTCTTCTTAGCCGTGGAGAAAGCGTCGGCGATCGAGTTTAACCTCACGATGCAGAGGACGACGAGCTCCGCGTCGGTCATCAGCGTGACTGGGCAACTGCAGCCTCGTCTTTCGAACTGCTCGCAGCGACTGTACTTCGATGGACGCATGACAGTGACAACGCCAAATGCTAGCGAGGTGTTTGTGTTGACGAACCACCGAGGATACCGTCAGCCGCATGATGGAAGCAGCGTGAACGCGACTTGTTTGACGTCCCAGGACATTCCGCCGCTGCATACACTAGCCGACACCGTCCACAGTGCGTTCCACCCGCTAGTCTACGGACCGTTTGCAGTCGATTGCAGTCCGTTGCAGTTTACGTTCTATGACGCGCCGTTTGTCGTGTGCGCGGAAGATTGGCTTCGAGCGAAGTCATATCCCCAGCAATCGATTCTTCCGACGAGCAGTGACGAGCGACCACACTTTGCGCCCGATTCCGATCCGGTGCTGATCGTTTACGGCAAAAGGTCGACGCTGCAGCTTATTGTGTTGCACAACTCCGAGAGCATACCGGTCGACGCTGGTCGAACGTTCGATCACTGCGAGTATCTCGATGCACCATTGACTTCAGGCGAATCCTGTTCGAATCGGACCCTACGATGCCCCAGCCCACGCGCGGATGCTTGCGAGGAGCAAGAGGGGTATGAAGCGTAATGTTCGTTCTCTCGATTTCGCCAAGCAGGCAAGTGCAAGCGACGTAAGATATGCATGTCGAAATGGGACGGTCGTCGTGTGACATTGGCTCTAGCAATCGTGTCTTTCCTGCCCTATGATACTCGTGGCGACAATTTGTCGCACCATTGACGGTGCACAGCTTCATTGCTAGCGGTTGCTGAGCCGTACGACAAGCCATGCGACAGTTAGGTGAGACTTTCCGTCTTCCTTGGGAAGCTACGTGATTGTCGCCACCCGGAGAATTTGCCAAGTATGCCATTTTCTCCAACGACCTTCAAGCTCTCACTTGTGGAAATGGACGACGAAAGAGAAGAGCAGAAACGTGTGGCGTCACTGAGCACGGTGTCTCTCGATCCGTACTCGGAAATAACTGATGAAGCAGCTGAAGGGATAGAGCCATTGAGTCGGAGCCGGTGCATGTGGGCACCATTTGTGGTGATGGCAGGTCTACTGTTGGTCGCCGTTGGGCTGGTACTCGTGCTGGATGCTGACCACGCCAGTCGACGGATTAGTACCGTCGAAGAAGACCCGCTTCTATCCGCACTGTCGTCAAACACGAGCGCCAAAGCTGGTCTCAAGGCTCCTGCACAGACGCTGATGAAGTGGCTGGAACAGGCGCACCGCGCTAGCGAAGTCTATGTCGAAGGCGGTAGCAGTGACATGGACCTGAACGGTGTGCTCTTTCCGCAACATGGCACTGACGCGTTGCTGCCGTTCAACGCGATGTTATCCGTCACGTCCGGAATCACTGTAACTAGTCAACGCTATATCGCTGTGGCAAACGGACGCGGCTACAAGTGGACCGTGACCTCCTTCGGTGTCGGCGATAATGTCGCTACGCAAGGCTGTTTGACTGCAATGCACGTTTTCCCTTACAACGGGCTCGACTCGATTGTACGAACAGCGAACTGGACATCCTCGAGCGTGGATGAGAAGAACGAAGTGAACGTTCGTGTGGATGGAGAGACGTATACGGTTTATCTGGAAGACGACTACCTTTTGAGTAACGATCGTTGCTGGACCATTGAGCGGCACGGCCTCGAGTTCGCGATGCGCGTTTGCACCTCCGCGACCAGTGCACAGGTCCTGCAGACGGAATACGACGATCTATTCAATGCCACCGCCCAGTGCCCGCAACTTGCACCGAATGCAACGCAGGCCCGCACACTATTGTCAGTGCCGCTGCCGTTGCGTAAATGGTACGCTAGCTACCAAATGTAGTCAAGAGCAGAACAGTGTATATGGTCTTCCAGTAAGCAAATATGCGTCGGCACGATAGTGTCACCGACAGTTGCGGTGGACGACCACGTCGGACGGATCACAGCAGTCGACGCTGCACAATACCAATCGTCCCGACGCCAGTGCCAACTGCGTCCTACTAACATGGCGGTAGAGACGCAACAAACAGCTGTGATTTTAAACGGCACTTGCCAAATATTATGGCCCACGTGCTGAGCTGCGCCCCTACACGATGGCATTAGGAGAAGCGGCGTACCGTGTCACAATATCCTGAGAATCAGAGGCACTTATTTTCGCCTTCGTATTACAATGTACCGGGCTGTTGTTGTGGTCAGAGTGAACGCTGGTCCGAAGCTCGAGGAAAAGCTGTCCGTCTTCAAAATGACTTACAGCTTTATGTTCGCTCTTACGGTGTGGTCGCCTTGTTAGCGACGGGTGACAAGAGAGAAAAACAGGTGACACCAAGAGTTCAGTTACATATCGACGACAACGCAGCCGCTTGTCGCAGCTTGTTGGGTGTAGCTGTTCTAGTAAAGTCATTGTGACGTCGACTGGTCTTCAACTTGTCTTCTCTCTGCCATACTGAAACTTGTGCTCGCCATTTTGACCCCACGTTTCCCACTTGCACCGCACAACAACAACACGATAGCGCCGCGTCTACGGGGATCACCAACTCCTGCCTCGCAGTTGTCAAAGTCTTTTGCCGTTTCGTTGTGCGGTACAAACGAATACCGTAGCAGCGGCATCACATCTGCGTTCGTACAACTTCCATGTTCCACGTCAGATACTGCAGTCCTTCCTTCTGTGTGCTTTGACCATTAGCAAGCTACAAACAGAATTGAAAGAAGAGAGTTGGCGGACGAGTTTCGGCCTTAGCCGAGATTGTCGTGCTTTTCATAGCATTCTATGTTGCAAAACACAGGGATACAACGTAGTCAGCTTACCAGCACAATATCGGTGAAAGTCTGGAGCTTTGAATCTCACATCAGAAGGCACGCAACTTTTTACGGACAATTTGTCGTTGGTATGATGCATTCAGTCGAGCCTGTCGCTCATTTCATGTGGCCGAGACGTTTGATTGGAATGACAGACGACGGAAGGAATGGCCGTTCAAGACCAAGCACCGTGTATACCACACATGTGCGTAGTTGGCTCAATGACGGGCCAATTAGTGATGTAGATCGTGTTCACTACCTATCCGCTTGTACCATAACGACATGTGAGTATTTGCACAGCTCACACCTTTCGATGATTGAAAGCTGCACGAGATACTGTCCAGCAACGTGTCGATCGGTAGCAAAAACCAACGCCGCAGGAATGACATCAGTCGGGATTGGCGGATCTGTGTCCGATGTAGACAATGTGTTCGCGTTGTAGTAGCAAACACGGCTTGGCAACTCAAGACGAGGAAGAGGATGTACGCCACGGGACGTAAGCTGTCTGCACACGGGTTAGCTGCATAGAGCCAAACTGACGAGTTTCGTATAAAACGTCTGCGAGTATTTGTGTGGGCATGGCGAAGAAGGTTGCTGCGAGTCGTACGGGAGATACTACTCACGTACCATTAGTCAAAGCGCGTGTGCAATTCCGAACGGATCACGGTCCAAATAAACGAGTCGACTACGCTCGCGCAACGACGCAATGAGCACATCCTCACAATACTGCAACACTACATAATGCAATATGACGCCACGGTCAAGTCATGGAGTTTGTATGCACAGCGCGACAGCGTGCAAGTAGGCCGTAGCACTACCGACGTCCAGATATTGCTGCCGCTGGTGACGGTAACGATACTACGACGGTCACGGTCAAGATGCTGTGTATTCAATGATTACCATACGGTTGCTTACCACGCAAAAGCGACCCATTCAACAGCTAGATAGACAGTCTACGAGGCTCATGTGTCCAGTTTGTAGTAAACATCGCGAGATCTGGTCTGTACTGGGGAGCCACAATTAGACGCCGCTTTCAGCATGAACCACGCAAAAGGGCTGCCCGACGATAGAGCTTCACCTCGTGGAATTCTCCGTAGCAAACAAACCACATGTGGTATCGGGCCGTTTTAAGCGATGGTGACCCCTGTATTTATTCCACAAACGAGTTGCTAGTTAGCGAATCCAACGGGTTTGTCGTGCACTCACTGACGGGCCGTTTTATCTTTGTCATTGAACTAGCTACGCACTGATGCCCCGTCGATCTCGTTTACTTTCAAAGATACACATGCAGATGCAGAGTTAGTCAAAAGCCTTTCGCGCGTCCGCGTCCTCGACTTTACCCGTGGTGTTGTAAGAGCGCGCGCAAAACGTTTGGATGCTTGGAACAAATGTATCAGCAAGTGCACTATTGAGGATAAAAGAAGAGTTGTGGAATGCACTGTTCTCCTCTTGGTACATGCAAACCACCACCCACCACGCGCAAGCCGTCCAGCTGCATCACTTCCTTGCAGGGTGGACTAGGTCGTCCGTACGAAAAAGACTGCCGGTTCGGCTCACACGACAGCCGAAAGCTACGACTACACTACGAGTCACGGTATAAAAGTGTCGTGACACGCTATCTACCGTACCCCGCGAGTTTTTCTTGCTATATATATTGTCACTAAGGCTGCACGATCCATCGACACACGCGTGGAAACAGACTGCGTCGCGCCGTTGTTTGCTGTCAAAAAACCTGCGCGCGATGGTTGTTGCAGGTGCCAAGTTCGGGTCCATTTGGTCAGTTGTCTATCGAGCAAACCGGCATGTTGGGACTCCACTCGTGTCAAGCGGTCTCGAACGTGGCAGGTTGTGAGCCGAATCATTCGCCGACACGACTGTATCGTTGTAGTATGGTATTGCAGATGTTCCCAGACGTTTGAGCGAGTGCTTTGCAAAGGCCCGTGCTGCTGGACCTTGCCATGATTGCCAGACACGAAAGGTGGAGTTAGAGTAATCTCACCAGTAGTGCCCGACTCGATCTGCCAAGTAGAGGCGTCTTTTAACAAGTGGACCGGCCGGTAAAGGCTGCGTCCATCAGCTGCACAATGTTCATACGGCAGGCAGTCAGTGCCAGATGATCATCAATCGATCGATTGAACGACCGTCGACGACTTTCAGCATTACCGCATGTAGATCGCAAAGCCCACTCGCCGTCTCGCTCGGCTGGACGCTCTCTCGCGTGTTGCACATCGGCTGCTCTTTGGCAAACAAATGGTCGTCCAGCTGGACCAGAGCTGTCTGTGGTTCAGCTTTGACGTGACGGCGTCTCTCTTGTGCGCCCACAGGTGCCACCAAGACGGTAAAGCAGTCGTGACCTCGTCCTGGAAACCGAGCAGACAAACAAACTCATTCTCCAATTTTCCTCACCTTGCAAAGCACGACCTCCTCCATCAACACTACTCTTCATCATGCTGGCTTGGAAGACCCTCTCTCTACTTGTTGTGGCCGCTGTGGCCATGCACGGTGTTAGCGCCATTGAGCAGGGACAAGGCGGTGGAAACATGCAATCATCGGATCTGCCCCCGACGTCAGCGCCTGAGTCCGAAGTACCGGTGGCGGCGTCACCTGACGTTGACGTTGACGTCGACGGGAGCAGCGCACCTGAATCCGTGTACACGGGCGAAGGCGAAACGGACGGCGGTGCTACGGATGTGACGGCCAGCAAAGACGCGGAAGGTTCGTTGAACATCGACCAGGCGAGCAGTTTGTTGTCCGAGGCAAGCAGCGGATTGGGCCCCAGCGACGCGTACTCCGGCCTGACCGGTTCTAGTGACTTGGGCACGGATAACACCACCGCTTCGACCTCAGCTTCGGGTTCAATGGTCGACGACGAGGCTTTCTCGTTCTCCGGAAGCGAGCCAGTCGACATGTACGCGACGGGGTCGTCGGATCTGACAGTGAACACTTCAGGCTCGGAATCGAGCGCCGACCCGGTGACTCAGGGCTCCATGACCGAGGGTGTGCCCGAGGGTGAGACTGAGGGTGAGACCGAGGACGTGACCGAGGACGTGACCCAGGACGCGAATCTGGACGCGAATCTGGACGTGACCGAGGACGTGACCGAGGACGTGACCGAGGACGTGACCCAGGACGCGAATCTGGACGTGACCGAGGACGTGACCCAGGACGCGAATCTGGATGAGAGCGTGCCAACGGGCGAAGCTGGCAGCGCGGCCTCCATCTCTACCGAAGAGGTCGAGGGTCAGACTGGTGATTTGCCAACCTCGAACGGAGGTGACTTGGGATCTCCCGTCGAGACGGATGTCTTGCCTGCGACTGAAAGCACCGACCCAACCATTTCTGCCACGGGCACGGGCTCAAGCTGCAGACGCCGTATGCGCCGCAACTAGCTGACTTTCGCTTGAGCTGCTCGACGTAAGACACAGTCGACTCATTGTTTCGTGCATGTTTTGTAGACGGGTAACCAATGTCAACATTGTTGTTTTTGAATTTCACTTGAAAGGGTGTAAACGCGCTCGTTGTTGCGTCACTTGTCGTCGTGCTCGCTGCTTAAAGAGAGCAAAACGTGCTGCGGCGAGTTGCGTAACCCACGTCTTTCAATAGCGCAACACTCATCGAGTCGTTCTGTTTGGTTAAGGAGCTTTTCGTTTGCCAGAGCTACCCAACTAGTTAGTTACGTTGCTGCCAACGAGCTACTTCTCACACTGGCATGTGTGACCACATTGCATCGTATTACGCAGCTAAAAGGTAATATGTAACGGGGTGAGCCCGTTACATAAAAATTGGCACGAATGTACCAATTTTGAAATATTATCTAGGAGATTTATCGGTACACACCCTCCCGTAGATGCGTACACACCCACCTAAAATAGGGACCCCTCCAAAAGTACCTTAGCCTATCTAACAAGACACTGCACACTTATTAATACAAAATGCCATATAAATATTCTTTGCTTTGTGCACACCCCTCCATAATACAGGCCTCGTTTGTGTCAGCACACAGCCTTGCGAATGGATCCGCTCCCATCATCCGGAATCCCCCTATAAAGTTTCCTATTTTTACTTTCATTACCCCTAACTTATATATGACTTTAATTTTTAGGTCATGTAATATGCATACATCTGACTCGTAATGCAAGAAAAACTGTCAATGGGGGACATGTACCTTCCCAGCTAAACAGTCTAAAGTTATCAACTGCCATAATTAATAACGTAAATGCACAAGATGCAAAGGTATCGATTTCTATATCTAGACAGCACTGCGATCTTTAATCCGGTGCAGGGGGTGACTGGATTTACGCTATCGAAATATTGAAAGAATCAATCGAGTATGCTTGTACCGCCTGCGGAGGCTGTCTACGCGTCGCTGGAGGGCACAGAAAGGATTGTACTTTCTCATGCGATAACTGAAGGTTACACCTTATCAAGAAGTCGCAATACAAAGTGCCGCTCGGGTGATATCAGGAAAGTCTGGTTGGTTTGTATCATGCTGATCGGTGCAAGAACCGACGAAAATACCTCACAGATGAGTCGCGAAAGCGTCGCAGCCCAACACGAAGTTGCAAGTGTCCATATACCGTGACAATTACAAAAGAAACAATTTGCAATGATGATGAAAATGACCATACTACTAATTAAAGCGATTGTGATTCTGTGGCATTTTTTCAATGGTCTTTGGATGTTAGAAACAGCGAACACTCCTACGAAGCAGCAGATGATGCATCTGCCTATCCCGCCGTAAAAAAACAGTCTTTACAACGCCACGGCGATCAGTGCCATGGCAAGAGCAGGTGCAGCACCCAAGGTCATCTTGGCAACAGTTCTTCAAAAGCGATCCAAACTGCGATCTCATTCCAAGGTACATATACAACGCAAAGGCGGTGGTCCGGGAAAAACATCTTGCTGGAAGAACACCTATGGAGATGCTGCTGAATGAACTTCAGGCAAATAACATTCTCCATGCTTACGACCGCGACGACCAAGGTCAAATTACTAAGCTTTTCTTTGCACCAAGCGAATGCGTCCGACTTGCACGAGAATTTCCTCACGTCATGATCATGGATTGTACATACAAGGTCAATAAGTACGCATTTATCGCATCTGATTTCAAGATGACTTAATTTATCAGCATTAACCATTTTTCTCTTCTTGTTAGATTCATGATGCCAATGCTACACATAGTTGGAGTGTCTTTAAATAATGACAGCTTTTCGGTCGCGTTCACATTTCTTTCGTCCGAGCGATATAAAGACTGCAACTGGGATCTCTATCATGTAAAAACAAACTTCATCGCCGATCGACTACCTCATGTAGTTGTCACGGATCGGGAATTTGCGTTAATGGCTGCGCTTTGTACGCAGATTCATAATGCTCACAATCTGCTTTGTATATGGCATATTTTAAAGAATGTACTTGCCAACTGCCGCAAGCACTTAAAAATCTAACAAGATTGGGAAACGTTGAGGCTGAATTCAAACAGCTGTGTAATTTTATCGGTGTTTCATCATACAAGACAAATTGGGCTGGCATCTGCAAACGCTATCCTATTTCCGTCAGCAAATAAATTGAAAGGACTTGGATATGTTATAAAGATTGGTTTATCCTTGCATGGATCAAAGCGTACCGGCATCTTGGAAACGCAGCAAGTAATGGAGCCGAGGGACTGCATGAAGCAGTCAAAACACGGATAGCAGTGTCGACGGGCGATATTGCAGATGTTTATTCGAGGACATTGCTTGCTGTTTATCATTAGGACAAGGTCATTCGGCACAGCACTGCCTATAGCCGCGCACATACACTTATCGCTCTCTCGGGTGATATTTGGGCTGATGTTCGACGAAAAATATCACATCACGCACTAAAGAAGGCTCATGAAGAGGTAATGAAGGCACGTATCTCACCGTCAACTCCGTGTACTAATGTCTTAACATCAACACTTAGAATCCCATGTTTGCATCGCGTTCGCGACATCTTAGCAACGCGTGTGCGATTTCAAAAGGAAGATTTTTGCTGTTCAGTGGTGGCTTGATCGCAGCGAGAAAACTAGTCACGAGGATACTACCGATCTTACTCTGGAACAAGCCCTGTCTCAAATTCGAGATCGCTATTAAAAGCTACCACCACATTAACAGCGTATTATGTTGGATCGTATTATTACACTATCACAAGAGGAAGTATTGGTAGAGGTGAATAAACCTCTACCAGTACGTCAGGGTCGCGGTCGTCCAGTTGGCGCTCGAGGGCTTCGCGGAAAAGACAACGTCTATACTCGCTGCAATCCAAGTGCATTCGAGCATGTTTTGTCGCAAACTGAAGCTGTTCATTAGCCATACGCTGTCTCCAATGTGAACGAACAGGGTCGTGGTCGATTTAAGAGACAACAAATATTGTCGAATTCTCAGCCACCAGAACAAACGCCTCCATGCCAAAAATAGATACACAGTAAGGTCGACTACGTCTTACACTACGCGAAAGTGAGTACAATATAGTACCGGAATCTCGTGCATATTCATGCCTGGACGAGCTGTGATGCTCGCTGCGATAGCAAAAGTTGTTGCAGTGGAGGGAGCGGACGTGATCACCACCAGGTCGTCATTTTGCCCCGTTGCCTGCTCGAATTATTGCAAGCAGACGAACAAAAGAGAAACCACAAAAAGTAAGTGATTCTTCAGCCGACCATTTGTCTTGTACCTATCTTCTACCATCTTCTTGCGACGAAAGACTTGACTATTCATCAGCAGCCCTTAAATGGGTACAGGAATCTAAAATTGCGTGTGCTGAGGTGTTAGATAGAAACGAATGTGTTAGTACACGTAATGTGTCGAAAGAGCGTAATCTGATGAATCATCTAAGGATAAATACGATGAAAAGGCACCAACGTACCTGATGCTGAAGCTGTCTGGCAGCCTAATTGAGCAACTGCGTGGCCTCGACGTGAATCTGAGCGACCCGGTCGCCATCTGCTAAGGTAAACACCTGATGGTCACCAGCAAACTCACCTATGCAGGTCATCGACCTTGTGAACGTGTACGTATACGTGTGCGTGGACGTGCGTGTGTATGTGTGTTTAGGTCACAAGATGTGCATCTTTGCTTTTGCCGCAGGAGATAGCGCGGCCGTCCAGCTTCATTGCTTCTAGCCTTTCAAGCGTTTATACGTATTTCTGGACTCTATCTTAATTAGGGGAAATTGTTGTAAAAATAAGGATACTTGTCGGGATGTCCCGGATGATGGGAGCGGATCCATTCGCAAGGATGTGTGCTGGCACAAACGAGGCCTGTATTATGGAGGGGTGTGCACAAAGCAAAGAATATTTATATGGTATTTTGTATTAATAAGTGTGCAGTACCTTGTTAGATAGGCTAAGGTACTTTTGGAGGGGTCCCTATTTTAGGTGGGTGTGTACGCATCTACGGGAGGGTGTGTACCGATTAATCTCCATTATCTATTATGATAATATCCAAACAACATCACTTAAGAATATGTGATGCTGTCGGAATATTACCTTTTAGGGTAATATCCACGGAGGAGTCCACTTCTTGGCTGATATCCCTTGTACTTCAATCAGATTAATCACCAATTGCTGCTAGACGCGCGCAATGGGTGGTGAGCAAGAAACCCACATAGGAAGTTGTAGTTTAACATAGTTAGATTAAAACAAAGGTAGTTTTATTAACTATATCACATACAGCTCTACTTTTACCTTTAACAGAGCTTGCGAGTTCTGTTTACTTCCTCGCGCTTCCTCAACGTCACGTGTACGTGACGTCGGGAGTACTCACCCTTGTATTGTTATCAGTACAAGGTCTTGCTCAGTTATCTGAGCAAGAGCGTACCCCGTTACACCTGGTAGCACTTTGTAGTCCTTCCAGCGACCACAGCAACTCCATCAAACATGGAAATGTAAGATGATGAGGAAACGTTTCACGTCATACGCGAAGTGTTTAACCATTTAAGTGACATCGAATGGAGCGCGTAGAACGCATGAGTTCTACCGTCGACGAAACTGCTATTAGCGCCATGTCGGAGTCTCTAGACAGATACCAACGACATGGCGTTATAGTCAAGGTTCATTCAATATAAACTTGTCGCCGAACGAGATAAAGTGGCCTTGCTTCACCAGAAAGGCCCTCAATAGGCCGACCAGTTGAGAGATTTCAGTGATCGGAAGACAGAGCTGTTGAGACAGCAGCAATATCATGCTGCTTTGGGCGGGACGACGCACATGCGTCGCCCCGAGATCTTGAAGGTCGATATCTACAAGTACAGAGGAGTCGAGGAAGAATCCCTGTTATTATGGCTCTGTCGAGTTCGACAGAGCCATACGGGCAAGTCGTATCGACGATGAGCAAATGAAACTCTCATTTGCTCAAGCCCACTTGGAAGGACG